TCGATGAATTAACAAACTCGTTTTCAATGATCATCGTAGTTTATAACTGGACTCCAGATCTTCGTGTATAATAAAAACTGTTTGCAACGATCGTTCAGAAAAAGAGTTGAATATAGATGTACTCCTTCGTTTACAAGTTTCAATAAATTGCAAATGGGACGACAAGATTCTTCAGTTCTTCGTGTATTTCTGTTGGGTATCGGTGCTTATGCATAAGCAAGGAACTCAAACTGTTATTTTAGAGCAAAGTAGTATTTTATTTAGTTAACAGAAACAAGGTGAGTAGAAGATGTGTAAGAACAGGATAAGAAGACAACCGAGTAAATGCAATTACTCTTGCGGAGGCTGTCGTTCGACTGACTAGGCAGCGTAGTTTTTCTTTCTAAAGTTGCCAGGGGCACAGGACAAACACATGCAAGTGATTATCCTTACCCTGTGCATTTATTGCCCTGGCAGCGTCGTCTCCGGCTCGAACGTCGCATCGGTGAGCCGACCTATAAGTGTACGACCCTCCAAGGGTCATACCGCGAGATATAATAAAACTAGAATCTAAGCATGCATTTAACAAATACTTAAAACTATATAGACATTTCAATAATTTCACTTAGCTATTTTCGCTTAGATGCATAAAGTCCACAATTTAGTTATAATTGGTCTATAGATCCTCGTGCAAGATAGACATTTTCCGTATTTTTTTCAAGAAACAGAAGTTTCATGAAGGTGTAATTACTCGTTTAGCAATGGCTCTAGTCAATTGATTTGTGAACTTCGAATCTTCAACGAAGGCTGTAGTCACCTATGTTCAGCTGCCCTACTATCTACTGCGATGAACGTATTGCCTGCTATCAGGGAGTTTGGTCAGAACTTGTAAATACAGTAAATTCTCCCTAATTGACGCTCAGCTTGGAAATAAAAATGGACAATTTGGGAAGGGAAAGTACGATTAATCGAGCCTTGCGGTTACGAAGTTTTAACGACTCCCAGTCCTGAACTGTTACAAATTTTCAGTTCTGAATTTTCGGGAATTCATGGTCCTCATTTTTCGCACATTTGCAGTCTTCAATTTTCGGAAATTCGCTGTCTTCAATGTTTAACAATTCGCAGCCTTCAAGTTTTGCAAATTCCCAGAACCGAAATAGTAGCCAGCAAAATTTTGTGTGCCTAACGTTTTAGAAAAATATAAAGTTTCCTCGGCGATCATTTGGATTTAAAAACTTAATAATAAACCTTAATAATAATCCCTAATTGACCATTAGCTTGGAAACAAAAATGGGCAATTTTGTGGGCAAAAAAAGGAGATGCGATTATTCAAGCCCTGCGCCTCGTTTTTACAATTGTTGACAATCGGCAACTATAAAAATGAGCCACGAGGCTCGATTAATCGTATCTTCTCTTCCCAAACTGTCCATTTTTCTGTACAAGCTGAGCGCCGATTAGAGAGAATTTACTGCACTCGTTAGAAATTTTATTATTATTGATGATTAATATACTTAACCGCTTATTATAATTCATCACAAGCATAACATGCTTTAGCTGTTGAGAACTGGAATGAAATTTTTGCACTGCTACGAACTACGTGAACGGAATTGCCAGAGCGACGAGTGCGACAGCACTTTTTCTTCCGTTAAGAGTTCCAGGCAAGGACTAAGGTATCTCGTAAGTATCGACTCGATGCTTCGAAATAACTTTTACGCTGCTAAATGTTGTCTAAAACATCGTTAACCACGTAAGTGCTGTATAAATCGATAAACTCAACGTCACATGCACAAAATGGAATATAAATCATGTAAAATTTGAAATACCGTGAATTGAGAGGAACGTCTTTGGTTCCGGAATTAAAATAGTTTCGACCGCATATTATTCTTAGAAGTAAGCAAAACAAGCGCTGCATGCTTAGCTAAACATAAAATCCATAACGGTCGTGTATTTCACTTTGAATTTCCTATCACGCGAGCTTATAAATAAATTTCCATCTCGGGGTGTCAACACCTTCCAAGACCCAGAAATTCTATAAAGAACGAGCTGCAGGATATCTTATCCCCGAACGACACGAAAGCGTGCGCACAGAAATCATTGTGCAGAACACACTGCCAGATCTGGAGCAGATGTGCGAAAGTTCCGCGAGTCAGCGACACCGCGACACGCCATTGCGTGCACCGGGAATGTGAGAAATTGCGTATCAAACAATGGTGTACACGTTCCAGGACCGGAACAATATCCTCGGTGTCGGTTCCATTTAACTTGCTCAAGTAACCGAAGTAGGTCGAAAATAAATGTACAGGCTAGCTCGATGTTGAGGGCTGGAGGGAGGGGGAGGGGGAGAGAGGGAGAGAATGAGAACGAGAGAGGGAGAGAATGAGAGCGAAAGAGAGAGAATGAGAGCAAAAGAGAGACAGAATGAGAGCGAGAGAGAGAATGAGAGCGAGAGACAGACAGATTGAGTGCGAGAGAGAGCGAGAGAGAGAAAATGAGAGCGAGAGAGAGCGAGAGAGAGAGAATGTGAGCGAGAGAGAGAGAATGAGAGCGAGAGAGAGCGAGAGAGAGAGAATGAGAGCGAGAGAGAGCGAGAGAGAGAGAATGAGAGCGAGAGAGAGCGAGAGAGAGAGAATGAGAGCGAGAGAGAGCGAGAAAGAGAGAATGGGAGCGAGAGAGAGAGAGAGAGAGAGGGAGACTGGCCAATGAACTAGCCGGTATAACGCTGTTACGAGCGTTAATGGGATCCAGGCATCGCAGTTGGACTCCATGGCGTTCTGGATTCCCTCGCAGCCGTCTCAGTCGCCGTTCGCGAAATTGAATGAAATTGCAATTTCGAAATTAATCGCCGGCTGTCCGGAATTTCAATCTTACATTCCCGCGGGATTGGAAATTTACATACCGGCGTTTCTTCGCCGTCGCGCCGCCCGCGAGATTCAAATCCATGCGGAACAGAGCCCGCGAAATTCGAATTCGCTCTCCCCAATGTTTCGAAATTCGCGGTTTCGATTCGTAGTTTACAAATTTCCGGTTCTGGGAATTTTTGGGAACTCGCGGTCCTCAGTTTATAGAGATACCGTTCAGTTTTTAGGAATTCGCAGCCCTCATTTCTCGCACGTTCGCAGTCTTCAATTTTTGGAAATTCACTGTTTAACAATCGTTGTTTAACAATTCGATGTTTAACAATTCGCAGCGTACAAGTTTTGCAAATTCCAGGTTCTCAGGTTTTTGACATTCTTTGACCGTAAAATTTTGGTTAGTTCGAACAGAGTCGAACCGAAATAGTAGACAGCAAAATTTTCTGTACCTAGAGTTTTAGAAAAATATAAAATCATCTGAGTAAACATTTGGATTTAAGAACTTAATAATAAACCCTAATTGACCTTTAGCTTGGAAACAAAAATGGGCAATTTGGAGAGAGTTACGATTATTTGAGCCTTGCGGCTCGTTTTTATAGTTGTTGACAATCGGTAACTATATATATAAATAATTATAATAATATATATAATATATAAAATAATAATGTAATAAATATATATATTATAATAATTATAATAATATATAATTTTATATATATATAAAAACGAGCCGCAAGGCTCGAATGATCGTATCTCCTCTTCTCAAATTGTTCACCGACCGAATAATGCAATTTAATTAAGCATTTTTCATGGAAGAGACTAAAATCTGTAGAATTGTAAAATAAGGATTCGATCATTTTGATCGTATCAGGTTTAACACGTTCTACCCGGCGCATTTTTTCGATGTCTCTAAATTTTATTTATATTGGATTTCGATGTCTCTAAGTTTTATTTATATTGAATTTCGATGTCTCTAAATTTTATTTATATTGAATTTCGGTGTCTCCAAATTTTATTTATATTGAATTTCGATGTCTCTAAGTTTTATTTATATTGAATTTCGATGTCTCTAAATTTTATTTATATTGAATTTCGGTGTCTCCAAATTTTATTTATATTGAATTTCGATGTCTCTAAGTTTTATTTATATTGAATTTCGATGTCTCTAAATTTTATTTATATTGAATTTCGGTGTCTCCAAATTTTATTTATATTGAATTTCGATGTCTCTAAGTTTTATTTATATTGAATTTCGATGTCTCTAAATTTTATTTATATTGAATTTCGGTGTCTCCAAATTTTATTTATATTGAATTTCGATGTCTCTAAGTTTTATTTATATTGAATTTCGATGTCTCTAAATTTTATTTATATAATATTATTATTTTATTATATTATTATTATATTTATATATTATATTATTATTATATTATTATAACTACGACGAATAGATTTTTTTTTATTTCCCAATGTATATTATCGCTTTGTCCCTTCCCAAGTATCTAATTCAAAACACGGTTTTGAAATAACATTATAAACATTTGTGGACCACCGGTGGTCCACGCCGCCAGATGAAAACAATGCCTGCGAACCACCGGTGGTCCACGCCGGGTAGAACGTGTTAATGTTAGACAAGAAACCACAGTGGGCCTGATCTCGCAGTTCGAATGGGGTACGAAATTTCTCAGTTCTTTCTAATTAGAATATTGGAAGTTTGTTCTCCGTCGGCGTTGAAGCAGCAGCACCGTTCGAATCCTATTTTCTGGCATTTGAAATGCTAATACAGGAAACTTCGCGACTTGTATTCCGTGGCATTGAATGAGAGTCGAACGCAAAATTTGAATAGTTGTTGATTCAATCGCGTGCCTGGTTCACGGGGCGACTGCGATAACCGACGGTCTTTACTCGAATTTGCACGCATTATATCTCGCCTCTTCGGAGATTGCTACGCAAGATGCTCCGAACGAAGTCGTTTGAAATCGCACGCTCGGCTTAATGCCCTTTCCGGTAGGATCCTCTTTGATCTATTGGCAAGTTTTCCTTTTGAGCCCGGGAGCGCAAACATTTGTACTTTTGAGCGTTCCACGAGATCGCTGAAGGTGGTGCCGCTTGTATTCCCTTGTACCCCGGCCTCTGTAGACTTACGGTAAATTCATTGGTAGCACTCACCCGTGTCCTGGCAGCCTCTCAGCTCGATTCGAAGGCAAACGGTGCGCCTGTGCTCGGAGTGCGGCAATACACGGATCTGGCTGGCGAATATCGGCGGGATTAATCGATGCGACACTATGGTGGATGTGTCGCTGTTCCCGGCCAGGACCTGAAAAATATAAGCAGATCCGCTCAAGACGCGACATTCTTCTTCCCAACGTGATCAGTCGGGAATATTCAAATATTACATCCACTGTACAGTGATCTTGGGAATTCGCTTCGAAATTAATCTATATAATAAATAATAAATTATCTTTATATGTAAATAATATAATAATTATATAGAAATAATTATCTTTAAGCGTTGTCCAGAATAATAAAAAATAATCCTGAATATTATTGATATTCATTCAATTGATAATCTAATAATTAAAATTAACGTATATATTAAAAAAATAAAAATTTAAATTGACGATAAATTATCTAATAGGTTGATAATTGGTGAGATCAAGATAATGTAAAAGTTAATAGAAAAAGGAATACGAGATCTAGTAATAGGAACAAAATCACAATTACATGGGGATGATTTTTCACCTTTTTTTTTGTTTTCATAGAAAATGTAAAATTAATACAAAAGATTACAAATGAAATTATTATAAAAATAATAATTAAAAAAAAATAATAATATAAATTATATGTATATATTTTTTACATTTTTTTATCGGAAATTAAATGTTATTTATTATACTGTATATATAATAAATTACGTTAGTACATTCATCGTTAAATTATAATATAAAGAATTAGTCAAATAATATCAACAAAATGCCAGTATCAAGTAGCTTACTTCAAAATGGAAGTGATGGATTAAGGAAAAATGATTGTCAAAAATGTGCACCAATACATAAAAAATCGAGGTGATCAGCGATTTTATGAAAGAAAATTTTGAACTTGTTTTAAAGCTTGAAACTTTGATTTACGCTATGTGTCGTTAATTTTTCCGTAACACGTTTTTGCATAATGTAACAGGTGGGAAACTGGAGACACGCTCTTCCTGGAAAATTTTACGGGTTGAAACGTCGACAAATACGTTAAAAAATTTTGGTCACTTCTGATTCCAACACCAATCGTCAAAAACTGTCAAAAACGAACCGCAAGGCTCGAATAATTTTTGTGTACAACCTCAGCATCAATTAGGGAGAATTTACTGTAGTTTGTACACTGATTATGTTAACACTCGAATTGCGGTGCTCGGGCACATTTGGGCTCAGGGTATAAATATTGTTATAATATTTGACTAAATATTGGGTTGGCAACTAAGTATTAATTGCCGATTTCAGTTATTGATGTCTCTCACTCCCATTTTTATGATAGATTTCATGACAAAACTGAATTGGTAAAAAATAATACCGAACAGAATTTAAGGATTTTGTTACATAATCTATTGGGTTGACAACTAAGTAATTGCCGATTTCAGTTATTGATGTCTCTCACTCCCATTTTTATGATAGATTTCATGACAAAACTGAATTGGTAAAAAATAATACCGAACAGAATTTAAGGATTTTGTTACATAATCTATTGGGTTGACAACTAAGTAATTGCCGATTTCAGTTATTGATGTCTCTCACTCCCATTTTTATGATAGATTTCATGACAAAACTGAATTGGTAAAAAATAATACCGAACAGAATTTAAGGATTTTGTTACATAATCTATTGGGTTGACAACTAAGTAATTGCCGATTTCAGTTATTGATGTCTCTCACTCCCATTTTTATGATAGATTTCATGACAACACTGAATTGGTAAAAAATAATACCGAACAGAATTTAAGGATTTTGTTACATAATCTATTGGGTTGACAACTAAGTAATTGCCGATTTCAGTTATTGATGTCTCTCACTCCCATTTTTATGATAGATTTCATGACAACACTGAATTGGTAAAAAATAATACCGAACAGAATTTAAGGATTTTGTTACATAATCTATTGGGTTGACAACTAAGTAATTGCCGATTTCAGTTATTGATGTCTCTCACTCCCATTTTTATGATAGATTTCATGACAAAACTGAATTGGTAAAAAATAATACCGAACAGAATTTAAGGATTTTGTTACATAATCTATTGGGTTGACAACTAAGTAATTGCCGATTTCAGTTATTGATGTCTCTCACTCCCATTTTTATGATAGATTTCATGACAAAACTGAATTGGTAAAAAATAATACCGAACAGAATTTAAGGATTTTGTTACATAATCTATTGGGTTGACAACTAAGTAATTGCCGATTTCAGTTATTGATGTCTCTCACTCCCATTTTTATGATAGATTTCATGACAAAACTGAATTGGTAAAAAATAATACCGAACAGAATTTAAGGATTTTGTTACATAATCTATTGGGTTGACAACTAAGTAATTGCCGATTTCAGTTATAGATGTCTCTCACTCCCATCTTTATGATACCCGTAAATGTTATATTATCAAATTATTATTATTAGATGAAAACTGTAACCACCGCCATCTGACTGTTAAACAATCTGACTTGGACGTGTACTAACAATTAGACAGGAAATGTCTACTTTACAAAAATACAAATTTGGATTTCATCTCATTCGAAAATACATGAATAAAAGGCAATCTTTTAAGATTTTAAATCACAACTTTTACACTTCTAGACCGTGTTAAGACCATATGTTGATGCATGCTCAAAAATTTCTTTTAGGTTGCATCATCTTTTATCAGGTAGCACCACAATGAACACTGAGATCAGTATTCCTGAAGTGCCATTTTATTGGGTTGGCAACTAAGTAATTGCCGATTTCGGTTATAGATGTCTCTCACCCCCATTTTTATGATATCCGTGAATGTTATATTATAAAATTATTATTATTATTATTATGTTATTTTTTATTATCCGTGAATGTTAGCAACTGGACAAATTGAATGCAGCGGTCAAGGAAAAGCGACCAGAATTGGTCAATCGTAAAGGTGTCATTTTCCAGCAGGACAATGCTAGGCCGCACACGTCTTTGTCCACTCGGCAAAAATTCATGGATATTGCTTGGGAATTGATGTTACACCCACCATACAGCCCTGATCTCGCGCCATCGGATTACCACTTATTTCGATCCCTGGACAACTCCCTTCGTGGTAAAATTTTTAACGATGATGACGCTGTAAAATCTCACTTAACTCAGTTTTCGGCCGAGAAGGATCAGACTTTCTACGAGCGTGGAATTTTCAAGTTGTCGGAGAGATGGCAAAAGGTCGTCGAACAAAATGGAAAATACATTACAGATTAAACTTCGTTCCAAGTAAAAAAGAATTTTTTATTTCATTGAACAAATCGGCAATTACTTAGTTGCCAACCCAATAGTATCTTGTCGAAAGTTCATAAATAATATTACAAATCATCCTAATCAAGCGTAGTTACATTTTTGTGAAAAAGATCCGCCCGCCGTTCGAGTATTAACGGCAACCGAGTAAACTCGTCGACGGGTTTATTAGAGCGCGGGATTCTTCCGTTAAGGTGTATTTAATCAATGAATCGTAAATAAATTCGTGCCGGAACCATGCACCGACGATATATGTTACCGTTACCATATAATTATCGGGTTAATTGCGATAATTTAGCTGATTTAATTACACCGGTCAATTAATGTGCCCGCGACGGCCACGAATCGAGTTAACGGTCCCCGCGACTCCGGGCGCCGCGGATTATTTTGCGCGGCCGCGGGTACCCGATACAATTTTGCGGATCTGATAATAATGCTGCGGCGGTGATCGCGGCCGCGCGATCCGTAAACGTAGAAACGACGATGGACGTGATGCACGAGCGGTCCGCCGTCACATCGACGTCGATATTAATCAGCTTAACCCGAAATCTCAGCGTACTCTTGCGCCGTTCAGACATAGATCACGATTGCATCGGTAGAAGCAATGCCGCCGCGGTTAATGCACCGTCTAGTCCCGATTGCGTAAATTATCAGTCGAATAAATCTGGATGTCACGGTGCCGTGAGCAACCTCGAATTATCGACTTGATCCGTGTAATTAAATATCACCGAAATGCATATACCGTGCGTCCCGGCGCGACGTTCCGCTTTAGTTTTCACTCCACCGCCGAAGTTACCTACTCGTTAATGCTCGTCGGAGTGTCACAGTGTCCTTTTTCGCTAGTCATAAATGCACGATATCTATCGCTCGACATTCATTGAACGGTTTAAAACGTTTGCAAAATAAAAATATCTCGGCTGCGAAAACGTTACTTTTGGAAACAGATTTTTGTCGCTACTTCTTCGAATGCTTCGGCTGATCGGTTATTTTATTAACTACTTTTCTGGAAGAATCTCGTTGCGTAAATTTGCTAGTGGAACTTCGAAATATTTCTATCATTTTGTTGGAAAGATAATGGTATTTAAAAGTGGAAATAAAATTGCCTCCATTGACTGCACGACGACGCAGCAGCTTGGCAGGCATTGATTTCTTTAATTAAAAATTTTAATCAGTTGAACGTCATACAATAGTATCTTTAAATTCTTCGAACGTTTTTACTGTTTCAATAAATAATGATCCGCAGTGTAGTAATTACTGTAGGACGGCATTAAATTTTTTCCACTTATTGTTCTTTAGCACAATATGTATATTAAGAAATCTATTTAGTTGTACAGTAATACAATATTTCATTGTGTTACAAATAAACCGCGGGTCGTTGTGCAGAAAATAAAACTTTTCTGCGTCGATTGTAAAAAGCTGCAATCAAGTAGAAATTTCTGTTTTCCTTTAACTCTTTGCACTCCAAGCCATTTTAACTGTAAATCTAAATCGATTTTTCTGGCTTATGGTATTTCCATTTTATATGACAAAGTGCATTTTACGCATATGAAATTTATAGTCTTGCGACTCGTACAACGAGTACGACTTTCAACAATTTTTTACGTCTAGACTTTTACAATATAAAAATTATCTTGGAACGTGATGTGACAATTTAAATGGTGCCTCAGAGTCACCACTCGAGTGCAAAGGGTTAATAATTTCAATAATCCGGTAGGAATATATGAACATTCTTAAATTCTTTAAATCCTCTGCTTTATATTTCACCCATTCATATTCGCTAGAAATGCACGAAAATTCGCAGTCCAATTATAAATTACAAGCGTATCC